GGTTTATACCACCTGGAGGTGACCACTACAGCAGCTGAACACCAAGCTTTTTACTGTCCAAGGCAGCTCTGACTTTTCTCTTTAAAACTGAATATTTAACACTTTATTTAATTTAATCTAATATTTCTCTAATCTCTTAGGGAGTGAGAGACATGCTTATGTGTCCTTTATAAATACAATTTGTACGTCGAAATGTTGAGATTCTGTCATCTTAAACTTTTACAACATTTAGTCCCAAATCACTTTTTTGTCTTTAAGTGAAGAAAATGTTTAGGTTTTATGTCTTTTGAGAGAAACATGACTAAATGAGTTGTTCTGGATTAATCTGCTCCATTCCCTCCACATCACCAGCTGTAGGAGATCTAAAAATCAATAATAGGATCCAGTCAGAGGACATGATTTATTCAGTGCACTTTTTATATCTTCTGCTCTTTACTCGTCACATAGATGCAGCTGCTTTCATGGAAACATCTTTTATTTAGGTTGAACATTTTGCTCTTCATGACACTTTTCCACAGATCAGTTGGCTGTAATCTGATGAGGATTACTGAAAATATTATTAGTTGATTGCAGTGCTGAGATAAAACCTGTTGTCCTCTCAGTTTTTACAGATAAAAACCTCGTCTTCATTTCCTTATTTCTCATAATTCAGACTTGTTCCTTACAGACCGTAGCTGTTAACGTATGATGATAAGACTGAATGTTTTTATCTCCACCAATGCAGACAGGTTTAATGCTGTTTTATGGGAGAATTGTAGGAGTTTTTGTTAAAATGAGCTGTAAAACTTCAAAAGAAATATCAGTAATTATTATTTGAGCTGTTTAATTTTAAAGATGTAAAAAAACTTGTTTTATTTTTAGGCTAGGATCAGTTTTCAGTCTTACTCTGCAACAATCTGCCTCAAGCAAACAAACACTTCAAAAAAGGTTAAAGTTCACCAGGGTAGTGCTGCAGTGTGTATGAGACTGAATTACTCTACAGTATAAAGTACACTAATTGTAAAGTAGTTTTAATAAATCTTTGTGTTTTTAAACCTAAAGTAGGTGTTTATGCTGCGTTCAAAGCAAGGCTAAAATTTCAGGTCTATTAAACATTTTTAGCTATAATGCTTAAATGTGTGTGTGTGTGTGTTTGTGTATACAGTATGTATATAC